TTTTTTTTTTTTTTTTTTTAACTCAGGACCTTGTACTTGCCAGACAGGCACTGTGCCACTGAGTTGTATCACTGGCCCCACAAGCATTTATTTGAGGCACACACTTTTACTGGATGGTTGATCAGAAAATGATGATCAGAGAATGCAGATTGAAACAGATGGCCTGGGACAGTGGTGATGAGCCTATGGCATGCGGGCCGCAATGGGTATACAGAACCTTCTCTTTTCACATGCAGGCCAATTCAGCCCATCAGCCAAGCATAGGATATTCGGGTTTAATTGCAATGTTGGCACTTTGTGATAAATAAATGGGTTCTGTGTTGCACTTTGGGCGTGTGGTCTCTAAAAGATTCACCATCACTGGCCTGGGTGAAATCAGCCAAAAATGTAAGAGACTGCATACCAATAAATAATCCACCTTCTTGAGAGGCTGAGTCAGGAGGATTAGAAGTTTGAGGCTAGCCTTGGCAATTTGTTGAAACTCTGCCTCAAAATAAAAGGTACAAAGTTCTGGGAATCTAGCTTAGTGGTAGAGTGCTTGCCTTGCAGTTGCAAGACCCTGGATTCAATCTTTTATACCACTAAGTAAGCAAAGGAAGGAGGGCTGGGGAGATAGCTCAGTGGCACAAGCACCTGCCTGGCTAGTGAACTGACCTGAGCTCAACTCCCAATACCTTTAAAAGGAAGTGAAGGAAGAGTTAGTATTGGTTATTTCCTGTCTTCCAAAGAACACTTACATTCATCACAACCCTGAAATAACATGGCCAGGCATCCAGCATCACAGAACCTTTCAAAATGTACACTGACCTTCTAGCTCCATTGGCCAATTTGTTCCTCAAAATGTCTGCCTGACATTTCCTTCCTCTTTGAGATACACAATTTTTATTTTCTTCTCTTTTTGGCCTCTCTTTTTACTGTATTATTCCTTCTTCCCTCCGTACCTGTTACAAGTCTTAAAAGAAGTTTGTTTAAAACACCTTCAACAGGTGGTAGGGGAGATAGCTCAGCGGCACAGCACCTGTCTGGCAAATGCAAGGTTCTGAGTTCAATTCCCAGTACCCAAAAACAGAACAGCTCAGGAAAGCATTAATAGATGCTAGTGAGAGCTGCACGGGACTTCAGGGACATGATTGCTTCTCTCTCCTCTGGAGACCTCTCCATGCCCGGGCCCACCAGGCCCCTCTCACTCCATCTCCTGTTCCCTTGGCTTTGGTGAAGATCTACACTTGAGCCTGATATTTGTCTAGCTACATTAATAATAAAAGGCATTTACATCTTTCCACTAGCATCCCACTTGCAAGGAAGGAGGGGGATTTTTTAAGGAAGATGGTGTTTTCAGTGAGTGGAAACAGCCCATACCCAGACTGTCTTGTCATATATAAAAGTCACCAACAGATGCATTGTCTATTCTGTTGCTTCAAAAAGCTGCTGCTTATTTAATTTACTAATAATCACCAAATTAAAGTGATTGTCTAAGTCACACTAAATCACCACACTAAATCAATCTTTGAACATCGACTCAAAAATTTGGGTTTTGTATTAAATTGTTTCTGAGGTAGAGAATTGTATGATTCAAGAGTTTAAAGGAATCAAAGCTCAACAAAAAGGCCTGAATTGAATAAGAGACCTAGATATCACACACACACATACACACACACACACACACACACACACACACACACGCTAGGTTGATATAAGTGGGTATAAGTGGGTTTATGAATGAAAAACTGTTTATATTTTTTAAATTACTGATAGCAACCTCTTCTTTCCACCTTTTGGCTATATCATCATCTTCCCACACCACTGGTCTTTACTTCAAAATAAGATGTTTTCTGATTGTATCATACTTCACATCCTAATAAATCATTTGACCCTTTCCTTAGTCTTATCCTCGTGTGTAAATCCTATAATCTCAACAGTCTTAATGTAAGATGTTATTTCAAAATCTCAAAATGAAGTAAACAGCATATCACACAGGTATAAGGAAAATAAAATGGCTTGCACATGAGGTAAAATGATATGTTTAAAATTAGATTTTGTTTTTTTATAGAAATAAAAAGAAAGTTTTTTTTAGAAAAAGAAAGAAAAGGTATATTATTGCACTTTCCTATAATTTTGTGGTAATTTTAGCATTTATACTGAGCTTAAAGTTAATCTAGACTGTAGGTTCTTGGTCTCAATTGCAGGGGTGAGGGTCCATATCTGTGCTTCAAGGAATTCCTCAGCTTCTGGAAAGTGAATTAAATACTGTGTGTATAGGCTCATTTTTTAATGGTAACATACAGCCATTCCAACAAAAGGTGATTTGAACCCAGTATATTTAAGACATTGATTTTGCCCTCAACTCCTTATTTTAGTGATGAGGATACTGAGATCCAGAAATGGCCAAGGGAGTTGCTGGGGATCACAGTTCATTAGCAACTGAACCAGAAATAGAACTCATGTCTGCTGTGAGGCCATCAATCCAACTCCCTCCTCCTCTGCACGCAATAGATAGATTATATTAGTCTTAAAATGGGATCTGAAGCTCTTTTTCTCTTCCAAAAAAAGTGTTGAAGTTATGAAATGAGAGCTAAAGGGAAATGTCATAAAGGCACGCAGTGAAGATCAAAAATTAACCCAAGCCCTGGATTCCAGCAATGATGTCTTTTTAGCAGAAAACAATTTGAGAACTAACTTTGTGATTACTGTTGTCTCCCACTGTTCATTGAGAATTGTCTTTTTGCCTCTCTTTTTACCATTTTGCAATTTTCTTTGGTTTATCTTCCTGGTGTCTCATAGTAGGCTTTCTCTTTGAACTTGGGGATCCACTTTTTCTTTCCTTTTCTCTACATTCATATTTCTCAGTCCTGTTTCGCATTAAATTTGTGCCCCCTCTGTGTTCTGCTCTGTACACCCTGAGAGGAACGAGACTTCTCAGGAACGGAACACAAGAAAAGTTCGAGCTACCTGGCAGAACCTGCTTGTGTGTGCAGTAGACAGGAAGTGGTCCTACTGCCCCATCTCACTGAGCGCAGAGCAAGGCACTCAGGGCCACAGGAGCATCAAGAAACGCCACAGCACCCCTGCCGAGCAAAATACTCAGAGAAGGGAAAGCCAACTGGTGTTATTTCTCTCCTGCTTTTCTGGGCAATAAAACTGCTCCAGGGGAACGTGTTGGAGCAAAACTAAGCAGCAGGTGACGGCAGAGACTTGTTTTCAAGCACACTGTTTCTCTCTTTTTATATCTTTTCCAGTTGGCTCATGTATTACCCACAGAAGAGAATTTCCTGCTGCTCTTCCGATGCCAGCAGCTGAAGTCCTGTGAGGAATTCATGAAGGTAGAAGAGAGCTGTCCCTTTAGGAAACACTGCAGAAATCAGAATGGCTGGCTGTTTTAAATTTGGTTTTTCTTATCCAACATTTTTTACAGACATGGAGAAAATATGATACTGATCACAGTGGCTTCATAGAAACTGAGGAACTTAAGGTAAGCAAACAAAAACTTATATTAAGATTTTTTTCTTTCCAAGGCAATTATGAACTGCTAAGGGCTTCACAGCTTTTTAAAATATTTTCCACAAAAGAAACTAGTGTGGAGAAGTGGCACATTTTAACCCACTCTTTCACATCATTAATGAGATACCAGATCCAGAAAGAGACTTCAAGTACTTTCTCGCAATTCTGGTCAGCAATATGAGAAACTAACATTTTTGTAGTGTACAGAAATTGTTATAAAACAAATAGGTAGACGATAGATAGAACTATGCATAGGCTAAGTAAGTTACACTTTTCCACTGAAATTTGATTTTATAAATTAAGCACTTATATAACAGACTTACTTTCCAAAACAAAGACAAATTATGGTGCACCTATTGTATACCAGGCATTTCACATGCATTATCTTATTTAACCTGTGCATGAGTTCAATACAATTAGCATTACCCAATGACAAGAGGCTGGAGAGGAGTTAGATGATCCACCAAATGCCACATAGAAATGACTCAGGGCTGCACTGTTTAAACTCAGACTTATCCACCTCTAAAACCTATAGACACTCCTTGCAACTGACAGCTTCTGAACAGCAGTAATACTTACAAAAATCCAAAACATAATTAAATTTTTCATGAAATGCAACTTTGAAGATGATTTTATAAATTCATGTCTCACATGATACTTAGGTGGTGGTGTGGGAGTGAGATAATAAGGACAGATCCAAAATCAAACTTTCCTCAGGGCAAATGTCTACATTAGTCTATCTAATGCTTTCCATCTTGAATGGGGGTGATGATACCTTCTTCTCAGATGTACTGTGAAAGCGAAGTGAGATACTGCATCGGAGAAATCTTCTATATCCTATCATTCATGAATTCAGTTTACTGGCCTTTCAGGAATGTACCTTTCATTTCATTTCCTCAAATCTCAGTCTGAAAGACCCAATTTGTTCTGATAATTAAAAGGGAAGTGGCTAATATTTATTGAGCACCTGAATGTGCACCTACTATGTAGTAGACACATTACTATGTGCATGAAATTTATTTTAATATTTAATCCTCGCAGACAGCTTGCAAAGCAGTTGTTCTCATTTCCAATACGTAAAGAGATTCAAATTCAGAGCAACTGGATCATTTTTCAAGATTACACAGGTACTTGGAAAAAGCACCTAAGTTTGGACCCAGCATATCTAGAAATGTTAATACTTTTCTCCTACAGCACTTCAAGCTTTGTTCATTGAAAGTTACTTCTGCTGCTGCTGCTTTGTGGGAGAACATGAGTATCAAGCTCTTTTCCTAATTGTGGTTCAACATGGTTTAAAGAATGCACATTTTTAGAGATGGAACTGGGATGTTTGCACAATTACAATTATAAAATTGCTTGAATCATATTCTACTGCAGCCTGTAGAAAGTACAAAGATCTATAGTGTGAAGTCACCGGCAACCATGTCTTTTACACACTTGCAGATTTGCAGTGAGGTGACAGTGGAGCTATTGTGTTTTTATTCTTTCAGGCCAAAAACATCTTTTAAAATTCCTCTCAGTTCAGAAAGAAACCCTTAGCTCATTTCCAACACTGACCTCAAAACATTCTAAAAGTCTCCTTCTTTGTTCTCAATTTTATTCTCAGAAAGAGATTCTAAATAGAAGTCCTCCTCCCTGGGGAATTTTTGAAGATAATGTGGCATTCTTTTTTAATAGATCTTTCAAGAAAGCTAATTTTAAGATCCATAATAGAGTACAACATCTCTTGCTCTCAGACATGACTTTGAATCTTAGTGTCCCAAGGTTTCTCCCAGGCTATTTTTGTGACCACCATTTTAGTCTCTGATGAGGCTTTTTAACCCAATTAATCTCTGACAAAGCCTCAGAAGGCTCAAAACTAAAATTCACCCCCACCAGATAACTTTGAATTCTCCATCCTTCACTTTCAATTTGAAGCAGACGTTTGAAGTGAAAATAAATTTATTAAATCAAAGAAATGGTCCCTTTCTTTGAGAAGACTGAAATCAAATTGGTCTGGCAAAACTGGTACTTTTGGAAAGGAAGAGATAAACCACTGCCAAACCAAAGAAACCTAATCCTTCAATAATAACTGCACAGTTTTCATAAGTGTATTAATTCATTTTCTGAAAAAGTAAAAGAGTTGTGAAGAAATAGCATTGGACAAAATGACAGACTCATGCTCGTGTGTACAATGTCTTTGGTATGGCAAGCTTTGAAAATCTTTTACTTGGTTTATTTCTCTGTTAAAAAAAGAGATAAACTCACTCTTTAGCTCCAACTATTACGTTGTCATCTCTTTCCACTCGTTCCACATTAATCTCTGTATCTATGTGATTCATACATCCTTCAAGGGTTAGATGTGATCATCTGCAGCCAACTGCGTGAATTTTTACAGTCAGCTGGAGCATTTACCCAAGGATTCTTTGGATCACGTCACCACTAGACGCTAACCAACTGGCCCTCTGGAAAAACAAGCTTCATCCTGTCTGTACACTGATATGTAAACATAGCCCAAGAGTACAGAAAATGTATTTAAAATTAGTTTGAGTTCCATCACACAATGCAAAGGTTTAGGGAAAAGCCTTCATATTTCTTACAGAAGAGTCACGTGAATACTTGTGAAGATAGCATTTGGTAGAAAAACGTCCATTGAGTTGGCTGATTTTTAAAGTTTAAATTCAGATTCCTACTCAGCATAAAGTCAAGATCCTTCTTTAATTGAAATCATAACAGCATAATATAGCTCAGATTACCACAGACTGTGTCTCTGAAAAACAGATATTGCATATGTCAAAAGCAGCTTCCTTACAAGAAAGTCACAAGAACTATGATTTAATCTCTTTAGTGTTTAAGGTCCTCTGTGAAAAGACCGGGTTCTACCCTCAAAAAGAGGCTTTATGCACATTTCTGGTAGGTTCTTTCTCAAGCATCTGAAATGGAAGCGGACCATCCATCACTGCTGAAATTTATCTGAGTGTTCTTTGTCTTAACAGAACTTTCTAAAGGACTTGCTAGAAAAAGCAAACAAGACTGTTGATGACATAAAGCTAGCCGAGTATACAGACCTAATGGTAAGACTGATCTTGAAAAGATTATGGCCAAGAGCTCGTGAAATAGAGCTCTTTTCTTGCTAATTCTCAAGGCTACTGTACACAGGATGAAGTAAACCATGTGAGCACATAGCTGTCATTTCATTTGCAAATTGGGATGCTGAAGAATGCTCACATCCTGTAAGGTTGAGTTCTTCAGGCATTGGCTTTAAGGCTCAATTAATGAGCATTTCCTTTCTTGTTAAGCTACATGATTTTTACCTCTCAAAAAATGACTTGTTTTCTTGCAGAGTTCATGTAATTATAGCATTGTTATACATCTTATGAATATATATTACAAAATACATGTAAATTATATGTTATATCACCTCAAACTCACTTACTTAGATTTCTTTTAATTTGTTGCTTTTATTTTATTGGTACATTGTAGATATACATAGTGATAATATTCATCATATGGAATTTGTACTTGTACACGATATATCCTGCTTCTTTTTTTCCCATTCCCTTCCCCTCCCTTCAACCCATCTTCCCTTCCATTTACAAAAACTTTGCTTCCATTTTTTCCTTCTATTCTTTTTTTCTTGCCCTTTATTTCCTACCCTCACCCCATTCCCCTTCTCATTTGAATATTTTCTTCCCATTTCCCAATATCTATTAGACACTTTGGTCTTTAGTTACACTTTTAGTTTCTCATGTCAGAGAAACCATGGGATATTTACACATGTGTCCAATTATTTTTATATATATATATATATATATATATATTCTAAATTCATTTTTATCACAGCTTAGAGTGTCACAGACTTTTTTAGAGTTTAAGGAGAACTTCTAGCTACTTTACCCATTAAGCCACTTAAAATGGTTCTCTTTTGATTTTTATTCCTTTGAGATATTATATTGGTGCTATGCATGAAGAAATACAAACTCATCCTGACCCTGATACTTGGTAAATAGCATAACCATGATCTGTCATAGAATATAGAGTCAGGAGAACACTTTTACTCACAGACTTCTAATGTTTTAAGAACAAATGAGCAAATAACTTAATAAGGCTCTAGAAAAAATAAACCGAAGTCCATGAAGTTACTTTGTTCTAAATGGGTAAAGTTAGCTCATTTTTAACTCCAGGAGACACATAGATTTATATGTGATTTAACTAATATGAAGGTACTATGAATTCTGACCCAGAATTTAAAATATCCATAAAATATAGCTGTATGTTATAAAAGTTGCTATGCTACACTAGACTACTGGGGAAGTTAAACTTTTAGTTACCTTGAGAAACAGTTTTTACAGTGTTCAATTATATTTAAATTGGCTGACATTTGCTTTCAGCTTCTTGCCCTACTTTGGGGGAAAAAATAATAAAAACAAACTGTAGAACTTTATTATTGGCTTATTCACCAGACAGTGATCTTTATTATAAAGTGGGACTAATCTTACTTTCAAAACAACCAGAACTATTTTTTCATGTTCTTCTTTAATCCCTCATTACATTTCCACAGCATTAGCAACTAAATGGGAGGTTTTCTTGCTGTGTGTCACAATAGGCAGGTCTAAATTCTAAACCTGTTTTTTTGTTTGGTTGCTTTTTTTTTCTTTTCAACATGGACAGTAACCTATATTCATCTATTTTTTATTCTGTTTTGATCTTAAGGAGTATCTCTTTAGAGTTAGGTCTCTTTTCCTGGTAGAAATTTGAAGCAGCCTTTCCAAAACTATGCAGATGGGAATATCTCCCTGTTGAATTGTCCTGGCATATCTGATTAAACGCCGTAAACTAGTTCAAACCCAGGAAGCAAATTAATCAAGAACTAATTAAAATTTAAATATATAGGTGAAAAAATATTTTCCTATCACTGTCAAACTGTGTGATCTAGTTGTCCAGTGTCTCAGAAGACATTTTACAATATTAGAATATATGGTGAATGGATTATAAAAAGCTGTGTCAATAAAGGACACTGAAAAGAGCTGCTTCCTACAAAGAATTCTTACAACATCTTAAGCCACAGAATGTCCTTCCTTTCTTCCTTAAAAAGATCTCACTAAACCTATATTCATTATAACTTCAGCATAACCTTTTCTTCTAAGACAAAAATAATGCTATTTTTCACATATTTAGTATACATAGTTCATGTATTTAATGCATTTCATATATACTACTTCTGTATCATATAGCAATAGTTGCTACTTATTAAAAGTGAGAATGCTTCACAAATATGGGCATAAACATGTTTATGGTTGGATATGTCTCAGAGTATGAGATATAGCTATGCTGGAGAGCTAGGAGCTTTAATGAGTATCTAGTACCCAAGGGAAGATAAAACAATTCAAAATTATTCAAAAAGTCTATTCTCTAAGGACCTATTCGTGTTATCTGCCTATTGCTTTTGTTTGTACCATTTTGTGCTCTACAGCAGTAGATATTTGTTTTCACACCATCATCTGGAGAGGTTCAGGAGTGCCATATTCTGCCAGGCACCATTCCTCCCACATATTGATACACACTCAAAAGGTTTTCCAAGAAAAAAGAGTTAAGTATTCTAGAAGCTTTAGTTAAGGCCACTATTACTCTGCTTCACTGTTTCGTGTTGATCTGATAAACTTTGACAATTGATACATTGCAAAATTGAAATTAAACTTTGAAAGTTTTAAAACATGTTAGTTTCTAAAATTGCACTGTATCAGTACTTAATAGCCTATTTGATTTTGAAAGTTTGTCTTCATTCATTAAATCATTCTGCAACAGCTAATATTTTGCTTTTATTTTTGGAAACAAAAAAATCCCTAAATTTTATCTTTTAGCTGAAACTGTTTGACTCAAATAATGATGGGAAGCTGGAGCTGACCGAGATGGCCAGGTGAGTTTAAGATCTATGCTAGCATTAGAGTAAGCTGGTCCTCGTTCAAAAACCAAATCCGCTAACATGTTTTTCTCTTAAAAGATTACTACCAGTGCAAGAGAATTTTCTTCTTAAATTTCAGGTACTTGATGTTTCCTCCATACTAAATAATATTTTCTTTGAAAATTTATAATGTGGGAGATTTGTGTAGAGAAATAAACTGAAATGTAGTAGTAGCATTTTAACGCTTTCTCTTTTTTCTGTCTCCTAGGGAGTTAAAATGTGTGGGAAAGAATTCAATAAGGCTTTTGAGTTGTATGATCAGGTAAAAGTTTGTTCTTTTTTCTTCTTTCATTTTTATTGTGATGAAAACACTTAGCATAAGGTATACCCTCTGAATTTTTTAAGTGTAATATACAGTATTGTTCACTAAGTAATCAATGCTGCACAGCAGACCTTGAAAACTTACTTATCCTGAATAATTGAAAATTTATGACCACTAATTAGGAACTCGCCATTTCCCTTTCATGAGCCCTGACAACATCCAATCTACCCTCGGTTTCTGAGTTTGACTTGTTTAAATACATCATATAACTGGTCTCATGCAGTGTTTACCCTTCTGTTCCTGATATTTCATTTAGCAAAATGTCCTCAAGGTTCACTTATTTTCCCACATACGTCAAGATTTCTTTCTTTTGAAGGCTAAATAATATTCTACTATACACACGCAAATCTAGATAGGTGATAGATAGATAGATGAATTGCTTCATCCATTTATCCATCAATGAGCACTTAGGTGATTTCCACTTCTTAGTTGTGAATAATGCAGCAATGATCATGTAGTGTTAATATCTCTTTGAGAGCTCGATCTTTTGGATAAATACCCAGAATTTGGATTGCTGAATCATATGATAGTTCTCTTCTCAGTTTTTGAAATATCATCGCATTGTTTTTCATGGTAGATGCTTCATTTTGCATTCTCACCTAGTTTACAAGGTTCTCATTTCTTTATATCTTCATAAACCTGCACTGGTCTTCTTTTGCTTGTTTGTTAAGGGCCATCCGAACAGGTGCGAGATGCTTGTCATTGCAGTTTCAATTTGCATTTCACTGGTGATCAGCCACATAAAACATCTTTTCATATACTTGTTAGCCACTTTATAGCTTCTTGAAGAAATGTCCAGTCTAGTCTTTAGTCTATATTTAGAAAACATTCCTAGGGCTTTTTGGCTATTGAGTTGTAGGAGTTCCTTATAGTTAAATATTATATTCCTTATCACTTTTTTTGACACATAGTTTGCAAATATTCTCTCCTTGGTTAAATTTTTCATATTTTATTCTCTTTTGTACCATTTAAATGGCATTTCTGATCCTTTTTAGGTAATTTATCTGTAGTATATAGAAATATAACTAATTTTGGATGTTGATTTTCATATTCAGTAACTACTGAATGTATTTACTCTGAGTCTTTAGTTTTTTATATGTAAAAATCATATTACCTACAAATAGGGACCATTTTATTTCTTCAGTTTCTATCTGAATGCCTTAAATGTTTATTATCTACAACTTGATCCTTAAAATTTTGAAAAATGCTTAGTAAGAGAAAATAAAAACTCAAAGTTCTTATTTTAAAACACATGGGAATGAAAAAGGAATTAAAGGGTGTTATATTCATATACCAACTCCACACGATGAATATAAACATTTTTCAAACACGTACTAATATTTTTTAAATAAAGAAACAAGGGCTCTTTAAATTATACAACCAATTCATTCTTCCCATGGAAATTGTATTATGGGATATCCACAATGCACACACCTTGCGTAAAATCGTACCCTGTAATTTATCTGCTGTGAGAATGATCAAGGGACCAAAATCTGAGCCTCAATTTCTTCATTTGTAAACTAGAGAAAATACTCTTTTGAAATATCAATGAAGATAAACTAAGATAAGATATCCTGGAGAAGCATCCCACATAGCAAATTGTGTGTGTAAGGAAAGTCATTGATGTCACTAATTCATATCTTTGGCTTCTTCTTTCAATTACTCCTGGACTTGGGCTCTAATATAAGTCCCTCCTCTTGGTGTGACATCAATCCAGTGTCATAGCTTCTTCAGGCTTCAGTGTTCTCACTTGTCATAGGAATGCATTTGAGATTACTCACTCTAACTGAAGACAATATTGTTAATAGAGTGAAATATTAAATGTGCAAGTACTTTGAAAAACTCAAGGTATCTTACAGATGTAAGGTGTTGCATGTCAACTCACCTATTTTGCAACTTTGGAGCAGCTAAAACTGTTGAGGATCTGATGTAACAAGTTAGAACACCTGCCAACTGTACAGGAGAGTCTCTGAGAATTCCACCCCAGCACTTCTGTTTTACTGCATTCTCTACTACTGCAGATGGGATTGGCTGTATACTGATTATTTCTCTTCCCACAGGATGGCAATGGATACATAGATGAAAATGAACTGGATGCTTTACTGAAAGATCTGTGTGAGAAGAATAAACAGGTGATTTACTTACTATATTTCTCATTCATCATGTTTCTGCAACCCCATACCCATTTTGAAAATATACTTGAACAATTTATAAAGGAGTAAAAGTAGATTTTTAACTCTTAAATTGGTTTGTTTATGGCTAAATATATATAATTGTGATAGTTTTTAAAGAATAATCTTGTGTTTATTCACATTTGCATAGAATTTAATCCCACTCTTTTCTTAATGGATTGCTATAACAAGCAGTTTTCATCTCACATTTTATCAGTACACAGTGGTGAATTAGCTTCCATATTTAACTGAATTACATTGCAGTCTATGTTCTACACAGGATCTGGATATCAATAATATTCCAACATACAAGAAAAGCATAATGGCTTTGTCGGATGGAGGGAAGCTGTACCGAACAGACCTGGCCCTTATTCTCTCTGCTGGGGACAACTAGATTTGGGGCTACAACCACTTGTTAGCGGTACCTTGTATCTAAAAAGATAACTGTGCACTATAAAGGAGTAGGCTGTATTTTCTTTTATATCTGTAAATTTTACTGCATATAGACAATTATCCAGGATGTGTGGCACATTCTTTTCTGCTTGTTTCTATACTGTTTGTAATGTACAGTTTTTGTAACTATATGATTGAAAAGGAGAAGGTCTATATTTAGGCCAGTCAGTATACCCAATTAAGGAAAACCTAACGTGTTCTTGCTTTAATAAATACAGTTGCCCATGAAGATTCCTCTGAAAATCTTCACCAGGATTAACCTCTAAAATTCTATTCTCTGATGAAAAATGCACATTTATCACTGAATAAAAGGACTATATATGACAAACCAAGCATTCTTATTTCAGACAATCATAGGACTCTCCCACACAGTACTTCTGTATTTCCAACTACTAGGAGAAATGTGTTTTCACATCTAAAATACTCACAAAAATACCTAATAAACAGTTAAATTGTGGATTTATGAATTCAACAGTCTCACTAGAGATTTAGTTTATTAATCAAAAACATGAGTATTGCTTCAAGCAATACCAAACTATTGACTCAACTTGACGTGGTGACAAAGGAAGGCAGCACCAGGTGACATCGATCTTATTCTAAGTCTGTTTCCAACAAGTCTACTGTGAGAGTATGACTTTGATCTATTTTCTATTTTCATGTGTTTCAGATTATAATTATTCTGGTAACTGCTGTTTTATGTCTATAGTGTGTAAGCTCTGATTAAATTTAATATGCTAAGTATCCTGGTGTCTAGTTTGCATACTTCCTGGATTTTCTTTCTATTGTAGAACTGTTCATTTCACCAAGGGTATCTGCTGCCTCTGAAAATATTTTTTTCTAGCTATAACAACTCTATTTTTTACTACATAATTGAATTTTAATGTAAAATTCATAGCATCCTGATTATTAATGTTATATCATCAATACTTTTGTGTATTCTGTGGATTCTATATTTCACATTGAGATTAGCATTCAAAATAGTTCTATTTCTATCTGCAAATAGTTTCAAATGAGTTCAAAATAGCATCTGAAGAAAAATGCTACTGTAATCATCTTATCTAGCAAAGGAAATTCTAAACCTTTCTTTGGCCCACATCTAAGTCACAGTTGCATATATTGTAGCTAGAATATCTTATACTGGTTATAGTTGATACGTAATGATGGTGATTTTATATTGTCTGTGGAGCAAAGAGTAATGACAGAAATGTCTATGTGGAATTTATAAAGTTACAATTAAAAAGTTGATGATGGTTCTGGGTCAATTTGAATGTTCCGATTCAACACTTAGTTTTTCAACTCATAAAACTAACAAGACAATGTGAGCTATCTCCTTCCCTCAAGAATGAACAGGGAAAAGATCTACCAAAAAACAAAATTTATCAATTGATGTGAGTAGTAGATTGGCTTTGCCTGCAGTGTATAAATGGAAGCACTAACATTAGATTGAATTTAACTGTAAGGAATAAAGAAAGGAGAAAATACCTTTATGTTTCCTATTATTTCTTCTCAAAAATGTTGACATATAATCCATAATTAACCCAGGCGGAAATGTAGGATGCTCAAGTTATTGTAGCACAAGGAATAAATGCATATAATTCAGTGAATTCCTGGATGACTCATTGAATTAAGAAATATCTTTGAGAGCCAGGGATATAGCTCAGTGGTACAATGCCTGCCTGGCAAGTGCAAGGTCCTAAGTTCAAATCCCAGTCCAAGAAAAAGAAGGAATATCTCTGACTCTAAGATTAAGAATCAAAAAAAAAATTTTAAATCCTAATATTTGAAGTTTTTTCCAGTGGCATTATCAAATGCTTCTTCATGCAAATTCTCCAATAGAACAAATAGGATTTTCCTACATTTTATCTGTAGAAAAATTATTGTTCACTACAAAATATACATAAATCTTCTGTCAGGTTTGACATTACTACAATGATGGAATGGAAAAGTGGAATAACAAAAACAGAAAAGTATGATGGTCGTAATTCTGAGGAGACTTTTTAGAGAGCTGATAGCAATAATATGAATCTAATACCAGGATTGTCACGGTGGAGTTCAGCAAGTCCACTTACTGAGGCAGAAAACAGGGTGAAGAGTGGAAAAAAAAAAAAAAAAAAGAAACTAAAAGGGTGAATGCAAGGGGGCCAGCGCAATGTCTATCTCATATCACAAACAAAGTGCATTCCAGGTTTAGTTCTAATCTAGATGCAAAAGGTATTGAAGATACTCATCAACCCCACAGGCATGAAAATACTTGACCAGTTAAGCAGAAGCAAATTGAAAACTTGTCTTCATTACAAGTAAAAACTTCTGTTCATGAAAAGACACTAACAGTGAAAAGTGAGAAAAAGATATTTTCAGCAATATTGCAATGGCAAACATAAACACAGAAACAGCACCCAGGATTTGGAGGCAGATTTATTTGCACTGATGGGCGCTGATCAGGATCATTCCCAGAATACCAGGCCCTGATCTCTGATGTTCTAGGGCTTATATAGGATAAGCAAGCTGGAAGAGGCAGAAGGGCTTGTCATTTGGGGATCGGTTTATACAATGTTCCTCATAGTGACCAGCTATGCATCACAGTGACCAGCCCTTTCTAAGAGACAGAAGCAACCAAAACCAGAACAGGAACTATTATCTGGCAACTAAGATGCTGAAGTATACTGGGGGGTGGAGGGGCAGGGTTCTGTTACAATATCACTGACAAAAGCACATAACCAAAATACATAAACATTACTTTTAAAAATCAATTACAAATATAACTCAATTGAGAAATGTGTAGGAAAGTGAAATAGGCATTTTAGGATACCTAAATGTTGAATGAGTAAAAAAGCAACCAATTTATCACCAGTCAAGAGAAATGCAAACTCTGAAAAAAAAGTGATTCCTGCTATATCCTTATCAGAAAGGTAAAAAATAAGGACTAAGAGTTGTGAGCATGCAGCACAGTGGGAATTCTTACACCCTGCTCGGTGGGATGCTAAATTATAAACAATTTGGAAAGCCACTTGGCAGTATTCACTGAATTCAAACATATGCACACCCTATAACTCAGCAATTTTCACTTCAAATATTACCAGGCTAAGAGAGAAAGGTGTGTATATTTTCACCCAAAGAAAAAACATGTTCACAGCAGTATTGGATTTGGCAGAGCCTCAAGCTAAAAATTCAAATGTCCATTAACAGCAGACATAACAACTGAACAGCGGTGCATTCATATGTACCTTATTCTCAAAGGAATATTATTGAACAAGACACACACATAAGCAATTGCTATACAGAAAAAAAAGCCGTAAACTAAAGAATATGTTTTGAGTAATATTATTTACAAAGACTGAGGTCAGTCTGCACAGGAGGAAGGAAGTTGGGGGGGACAGGAGGGAGGCTTCTGGATTCTTGGTGCTGTTCTCTTTCTTGACCTGGCCAGAGGTCACATGTCTACATTCACTTTGTGATCATTCATGATTTGTGCAGTTTTAAACAAGAAAGTTAAAAAAAAATTTATTTTTTTATTTTTAGAGGCTTTTGTTATAAGATTATACTTTATAAATATCCTGTCGTTATTGTCTTGCTTTACGTTATTAACTCCAGAGACATCTAACTTTGGACATGAGCTTGACAATTTGTGTGACCTAGGGCAAGTCATACAACTTCCTTAAGCCATAGGCAGTTTTCTCAATTGGAAAATGAAAGAATGAGTGTCTACTAGAGTTTTTCCCATGCTATTATTCAAACTCATTTTCATTCTTTTTTTCTTTTTGGGTTATTTTCATACATGCTTACAGTACATCATAAGTACATTCATTGTGGAGATTTTGTACATTTACATAACACATCTTAATTTCTTTTACATCCCCTTCTACTTCCCTAGATCCCGCTCCCTCCATCTTTTTAAATTTTATTGGTACATTTTAGATATACATAGTGATAACATTCATCATATGGAATTTGTACCTATACATAATATATGATTTTTTCCCCATTCCCCTCCCTTCCCCTCTTTATTCAAAAAAGCTTTGCTTCCATTTTTCCTTCATTTTTTTCTTGCCCCTTCTTTCCTTTTTCCCCATTCCACTTCACATTTGAATATTTTCTTCCCATTTCCTGATATCTATTATACATTTTGGTCCTGATATACACTTTTGGTTCCTCATACCGGAGAACCATGCAATATTTAAACATGAATGTCTGATCTATCTCACTTAAGAAGATTGTTTGAAGGCATATCCATTTAGCTAGAAATGTCCCAAGTTTATCCTCTACAGTACTCCACTGTCTAAAAAACCCCCACATCTTCTTTATCCATTCATCAGTTGAAGGACATTTGAGGTGTATCTAAGATTTAGCAATTACAAACTGTGTCACTGTAAACATGGGTGTGCATGTATTACTGCGGTATGATGCTTTTAGTCTTTTTAGGAAGATACCAAGAAGAGAGAAATAACTATGTCAAATGGAACTTCTAGTTTTAGATTTTTAAAGAATCTCCACAGTGATTTCCACAGTACACTCTACACTCCCACCAGCACTGGAAAAGTGTTCCTTTTCCCCACAGCCTCGCTAGCATTTGTTAATGGTTGATTTCTTGATAATAGCTATTCTTCCTGGAGATGGAATCTCAGCATTATTTTAATTTGCATTTCTTGAATGACCAGTGATGTTGAACATTTCTTCACATATTTATTTGCCATCTCTACTTCTTCATCTCAGAATTGTCTATTTCAGACAGATGCCCATTTTTGGATTGGGTCTTTACATTTGGGAGGTCTGATTTTTGTGAGTTCTTTATATATTATAGATAGTGGTTTATTGTCTGAGGAACAGCTGGAAAAAAATTTTTTCTACACTGTGGATTGTCTTTTCACTCTATTGGTGGTTTTCTTGCTGTTCAAAAGCTTTTTAAGAAAACAAGATCCCAGTTATTGATTCTTTGTGATAATCGTGTGCTGTCGGGGTTTTGTTCATAAAGTTTTTGCCTGCACTGATGTCTTAAAGAGTTCTACCTATTCCATCTTCCAAAGATATACTGTTTCTGTTTTAATATTTAGATTTTTATCCACTTTGCTTTTAGTTTAGTGCACAGTGAAAGATAAGGGTTTAGTTTTAATCTTCAGCATGTGGAAAGCCAGTTTTTTCAGCACCAATCATTACAGAAGGTATCTTTCTTCCAGTAAGTGTTTGACTCCTTTTTCAAAGGTAAGGTGGCTGAATATCTCTGGAGTTGTTTGTGCATCTTCTGATCTGTTCCACTGATGTTCAGGTCTGGTTGGTTTTTTGTTGTTGTTGTTTTGGTTTTTGTTGTTTTTTACCAGTATCATGGTATTTATATCATAGTACCTTTGTAGTATAATTTCGGGTAGGGATTGTGATGCTTTCTGCCTTACCCTTGTTGCCCAGAATTGTTTTTGCTATTCTAGGTCTCTCCTGGTTCCAAATGAATTTTAGGATTATTTTCTCTAATTCTGTGAGCTATGCTATTGGAATTTTAATTGGGAGTGCATTAAATCTACATAACAATTTTGGAAGTATGGTTATTTTCACTATATTGGATTTTCCTACCCAAGAACAAGGGATATCTGTCCATATTTTGATATCCTCTTCTATCTCCTTTCTCAGAGTATTGTAGTTTTCAGTGCACAGGTTTTTTACTTCTTTCTCTAGATTGATTCCTAGATATTTCATTTTTGGATGCTATTGTGAAAGGTGTTGTTTACCTAATTTCTCTCTCAGGCGGTTTGTTATTTGTGTACAGAATTGACTTTTGAATGTTCAATTTGCATCCAGCTATGCTGTTGAATTTGGTTATTAAGTCTGGAACTCTTTGGTGGAGTTTTGGGGGTCTTCTATGTGGAGTGTCAAGTCATCTGCAAATAATGATAATTTAACTATTTCCTTTCCTGTCCATATTCCTTTTATTTCTTTCTCTTGCCTAATTTTCCTAGCTAATGTTTCTAGAACTATATTGAATAAGTGTAGTGGCAGTGAAACTCTTGTCTTGTTCCTGATTTTAGAGTGAAAATTTTCAGTTTTTATCTGTTTGCTATGGTGTTGTCTGTGAGGAGTCGGGGATATAACTCTATGCAGCACCTGCCTGGCAAGCACAAGGTCCTGAGTTCAATTCCTAGTACCAAAAAAAATTAAAAAAATAAAAAGAAATCCAAAAGTGAATTTTAGCCAGGCAAGGTGGTGCATGCCTATAAAGCCAGCACTCAGGAGGCTGATGCAGGAGGCTCCTTGCAGGTTTGAGACTAGCCTGGGCTACAAAGTGAGCTCAAGTTCAGCCTGAACTGCACAGTGAGTCCCTGTCTCAAAAAGACAAAAAAGAAAAAGGAAAATACTATGATGTTGTCTGCTTGAGGTTCGACAGTAGGTTGTTTGTTTGAGCTCACTCTGTTTTTCTGGTATGGGTATTTACTGCTATAAATTTCCCTTGCAGGACAGCTGTCATTGTGTCCCATAAGTTCCAGTATGTTTTACTGGC